TATATATATATATACATACATATATATTCTAAGTGTTGGTAAATAAACCTTAAATTCTCCAGCTTAAAGAAAAAATTTCACTGTTAAAAATAAAAAGTAATTTTTTTCCAATGAAATGCTTTTATTCTCTCTATAATATAGAATTCCAGAAACAAGTAAATTTTCCATCATAAGAAGAGTTTTCGATCAAGCTACGAAATTCCGATTAAATATTGATTTTTATCTATTTAAAATGATGTTTTGGGACATTTACGTTATATAAATTTAAGTGAATCTAAATAGTTTCGGTAAAGTTTGTCGAAACTTTGAAATTTATGCATTAGAAGTAAATAAATATAAGGACGACTGGTTAAATAATAGTTGAAAACTAATTGCAACGGCTTACAAATCTTTGGAAAGTTTATTTTACCAATGTTGGTAAAGATGTTGTTAAATAGTGCAATGATGTGTTTAAGCTGCGTTAATTATTAAACTAATGCCAGAGTTTATAGTAATGTATGTATCGTAAACTAATATGGGACTAATATTGATATTTCATAGTTGTATCACCCAAGGGACTTTTATTTAGAGAATATTAGATTGTATAAATATTATTTTCAATTAAGTAGGTAATATTTCATATAATTTAAAATAATTGCATCTGCTTATATCAATAAAAAATATAATAATCATTAAAAAATATAGTATGTCCTACAATCATATAACTTCAAATCATAATATTTATTTGCTCAGGACGCAAGCTTATGAATAACAATTAATTTTTTTTCTTGCTTCTAGGGAGATTTTATAAATTTAATAAAATATTTTTTAATGGAATAAAAAATAACTTACCTTCACTCTAATGGCTAAGCTTTTATATCAAATTAAATTTAAATTTAAATTCATCAAATCATATTAAACTCATCAAATTAAATTTTGATTCATGCACCATTGAATCATCGCTCTCTTAACTTTTACATTCAATATATTTAAAAATTCCCTCGTCCATTCACTCGCCATTTTCAACCAGT